TTAAAAAAAGCATAACTAAGAAATCATTTTTACGAAATAGGATTGTTAAAAATACTTAAACAAAAATGCCATTAAAATGTCCACTTAAAGAACGATTTTGTAAATTCTGTAATTGTGATACTGTTGAAGATGAAGTTCATTTTCAATCTTACTCTGATCTTAGATTTTGGGAAAGATGTAGCTTCCCTAGATCTTATTTTATATACGTAGTAGTTGAAAAGCTTGTACATTAATTTAATGTCAAGTTCTACTTTTCTTAATCCCCCTCGCCGCACTTCGATCTGAAATGCATAATTGGCGTCTCAACGACCATGGGAGGTATTTACAGGTTGTTACAATTAGCAATCCCCGTCATTTGAATCGGCCAGATGTTGTATTTTTAGTAATGAATTGGGTATTGTTTGTCATACATGATGTGACACACTAATGCAATATTTTCGCCTTCGTTAACGGTACCATAACAACTAGAGATGTAATGATGATTTCCACCGATATTGTGCAGTCTGGATCAATTAGAATTGAACTAAAGGGTTTGGCAATGACACTATGGTCATATAATTTCGTCTACCGTAAACAAACCATTTAATCGACTTAGAATTGATTAAGTATGCAACTAACTCTTCTGACAAACACTAAATGTATTTTGATATTAAAAAGTACAGAACATTGAAAAAGTCTCAAGAAGTCGGCGTGAGAGTTCTGGAGACAGATGGTGAGCTGGGGGCGTCCCGTATTTCCACAGGGAGGGAGACTTGCCGCCAGTCTATGTAACCCAACTCTCCCCCGGGTTCACGCTTACTGGCACTTCTTTGTGGCTCCCGGCACACGGCACATAGGAGCCTTCCCCCACTCGATGCAAGGGAGTAAATGTTGTTAGTGCTGCACTAAGAGACATTACCTGCAAGCTAACACTTGATGACCAGACAATCCATGGATGGATAGCATAAAGCAATCTATGAAGTTTGGGCAAACAAGGCCAATGGTTCTCGGGTGCTAAAACTTGCTGTGCAAAGTTGTGTCTCTCGGATGTGCCAGGACACTTGGGATACTGTCTGCAAAGGCCAGATTCATCCTTGTTAGAATCCTTCGGGTTAAGACCAGGGCCCACTTGCACAAAGCAATCTTAGCACTAGGACTATCGTAAGCCTATGTTAAAGTATGGGATTTACAATCATCCTAACGATAAGACCGTTGTGTGCAAGTGGGCCAGGACTTGCACCACACATCAGACTGAATACAATACTGTTTGAAGCTGCATTAATCCCACCCTGAAGTCTTTTACCCCTCAATATCCATATACTTAACATTGACAAAAGTAGAGAGCACTTGGGACCTACTCAGTGCAAGAATCCCCACCGTGGGAGAGGCAACATTAAATAAAGAACCACATGGTTTTATTACTTTATTGTTCAAGTTAACAACAATTGAGAACAATATTTACTGCAAGATCACAGAGATGCAGATTAAGGATGAGTATCACACATTGTAACACCTGACAGCTGTTCTCTTTCATCAACAGCAACAAGGCAAAATGAAAAGGTTTCAATACCTGAGGACAATCATGGAAATCCCCCCCCCCCCCCCCCCCCCAAAAAAAAAAAATGGAAACTACTCAAAGGACGTTAAGGAACACCTGGTTCTTTCATACAATTGAAGTTAATCTGTAATGTCATCAAAGATTAACTACAGTAATATGAAAGAAACAGGAGTTCTGTTACTTCTTTTGAGTAGTATATTATAATGGTTTACCATGAATTTAGAGAGCATGCTTGGACACGAAAGAAAAGGAAAAGCAGCTACTGTGAAGTGTTCTGGTCAAGTCAGTGGACATTATCCTTGAAATATGGATAAGTAGGTTTTGAAACTGTATCCACTGAGTCTTCCCTCTGTGAGTAAGTTTTTCCGATATGTTTTTGTTTGTTGTTAAACTCTAATTTAGCAATAATCCAGCAATATGATGGCAACCTGTCAACAATCAAGTATGGACCTGATAAACCAGCATTTGATATTGTCAGCAAAGATCCACCCTGTCGGTACGATGACCCCTCATGTCGGCCCAATGAGATTGAGGTGATTGGGAACTGAAGTGTACTCATACCTGTGAACTAGTGATGAGGTAAGTAACATGGGGAAATTTAATTGTGTACTTTCAACACAAGCTAGATTGTGTTTTTACTCATAAGTCTCCCTCAGCAACCCATGCTTGCTGTAAAAGGCGACTATGCTTGTCGTAAGTGGCGACTAACGGGATCCGGTGGTCAGGCTTGCTGACTTGGTTGACGCATGTCATCATATCCCAATTTCGTGGATGGATGCTCATGATCAATCACTGCATTGTCTGGTCCAGACTCAATTATTAGAGACCGCCGTCATATAGCTGGAATATTGCGGAGTGCGGTGTTAAACAACAAACAAACATGTCTCCCCCTGCTTTTTTTATACAGTGGTTCAAGTTGATACTATAAATGTGTTTGCAAATCTGAAAAACAATAACAGCAAAAAATACTAGTACAGATTCTGATCATATGCAACATAATGAAATGTCTGACACCAATATCTGTTGACAAGAATTCATCGCATATGTCTTTACTATTATTCATGACACAATACTATTATCATCGGTTTTCGGACATCATATGTTTTCTATCACGAATACTTGCACTATAACGTGGGACGTGGCGTCACACAGAAATTGCTTGTTTTTAAGATAAAGTTGTCTTTTAGCCTATAAGTGAATGAGATGTTTTTTGTTCATGTGATTAGCGAGAAAACTATGAATGTTTCTTCAGCGTCCAAAAACCCATAACACGGGGACATATGTTGTATTGATTAATGTCTTATGTTTGCAATGTTAAAGGTAAGTAATTACAAGGTAAGTTTTATGCTTCAACATGGGGAAAGGGTCAGACATTGCACGCTTGTGACAGTTGTCCTTGTGTCTGGGGGATGGGGGTTGAAGTTTATGGCAGTATTGCTCATAGACCTGGTGGGTAGCCAGGTGTGCGGAAGCTGTGTCCGCTTTTTATTGACTTAACTTTGAAATTTTACTGCAACTTTTTGCTTATTTGACTTGACTTTTGCCATTGACTTATTACATTTCATGGTGTGAATGTTGTCCAAACTGCATGAAATTAGCAAAATAAAGTTTAGACAAATTTCAAAATAGCTAAAAGGTACCAGTCAGGCTAATGAACAATGCATATGTCAAGTTTCATTGAAATTGTTTTAATGTTATACTTAGCAGCAATTGTTACCACCCAATCAACAGTTTAGCTCCCTCTTACAACAGCATGAAAGATGAGAGACCTATTCTACACATGAAATGCATGGACACACTGGTCCCTACTTTCAAACTGTATTGGTTCCATGTGGATCAAACTGAAACCTCCACTGACAACTGAAATTCCAGACATCTAATTTTGTGAAAGAAATGCTATTTATTGATTTCATAAAGAAATCTTTCTTAATGATACAGAATTGAGAAAAGTATAAACATTTGTAAATGTCATGGAAACAAAACACTGTATCTTTGATCTGAATGTTTACCACAACAAAGGACGAGGAAGGATAAGGGCCTTTTTCCATGTCAGAATGTCGAGATCTGATTGGTTCACATTACCTTGATAAAATACTGAGTGGAACAAAAATCCTTTATACTCACGCCAAGAAGATAACAGACTGCCTGTGGATTTCTTCGCAGGACAATAAATCTGAACACTGCTACAAAGCATAAAGCTGCACGTTATTTACAAGTCACACAAGTGAACCGCAGCTCAATCAAACAGTTGTACGTAATTCTGGACTAGACAATCCAGTGATTGACATCATGAGCATCAATCCACGAAGTTATGATATGATGACAAACACCAACCAAGTCACCAAACCTTACCATCCGATCCCATTAGTTGCCTCCTACGACAAGCGTAGTTGCCTTTTATGGCAAGCATGGGTTGCTGAAGACCTACCCAGCATCTTCATGGGTGACTAGCAGTTGTACGTACTTGAAACGTCATATTGAAAGAATAAAGAATTTGAAATCCACAAGTCACCATGTTTTCAAAGAACTAACACACCAAAACATGATTCTTGTTTGCTCTGTGATACAATGACACTTTAAGTCGTTACAGGTACAGGTCACATAAACCATGTGAGAGGAAATAAGAAAAGTATCTAAATATATACTACTCAGAGGAAGTTATAGAACATCCGATTCTTTCATATTACTATAGTTAATCTGTCATGGTATGACATACTACTCACAAGAAGTTAACCAACACTAGCAGGACACATTAACTATAGTCTGGAAAGTAATTTAAGGTACCGACGTTTACTACAATATCTGAAAAACTATCGGATCTACTCCAGTCCAAGTTGGTATCAACTCAACTCGAAAGGGTGCACGGGAATCACATGCACGAATACGGTGTTAGCGTTGGGCGCCTCAACGTGCGTGATTCCCGTGCACCCTTTCGAGTTGAGTTGGTTCAACTGTGTCATATGACCCTCCGACGCAGGGGTAGCATTATGCAGATGGCTGTTTCAATGAATGCTTGTTCCACCCATGACGAACAGGTCTGGTTGTTGATGAAATATAGTGATAGCTAAATAGACAGATATTTTATTCATGCACCGATTGTCTTTAAATGTAATATCCAGTTATGTATGACTGTTTAATAATCTCATACCAACTTTGACTGGAGTGAGTGAGTAAATGTTGCATTAAGCCGCATCAGCAATATTCCAGCTATTCGCGACTAAACTTTGACTGGAGTAGGTCTAATAGTTTTTCAGATATTGTAGTAAACGTTGGTACCTTAAATTACCTTCCAGTTAACCAACACTAGCAGGACACATTAACTATAGTAAAATGAAAGAATCATGTGTTCTTAACTTCTTCTGAGTAGTATATATAACAAAGAAAACAATACACATGACACTCAGCATGCTCAACTGTACCTGTTTAAGGTTGACATGACAACAGCTGACGTGTGATGACAAGAACAGTTTGAAAATTAGGCCTTTTTTTCCTTTTACAGTTTCCCCAAACCATCGACTTGGTAGTCATACTAAAATCCAAATCAAGTGACTTCACATTCTATCCCAAATTCGTATGATGTCTGGTCAGCACATCCGTGAAAAGTAAATGCACCATATTTGTCCAGAGTATTTGGTTTTCATCTAACATTTGCTTCCTATAAGGAACTGACAGATATAACAAACATACTTGTTGGTCCCGGACATTTGCTGTATATATGCTTACATAAACGAACTGAAATTAGTGGTCCCTTTGATTTCATGATAACCGTAGATTACTGCATGATTGTCTTATCTTATGATTATTAGTTATACAACATCCCTGATGTTATACAGAGTACTTATCACGTGGTTGTCCTCAGAGATTGTCATTCTACACTGTTTACATCAACAGACATAAGTGAACACCATCATTTGGCAAGTCTAGATTTCTTCAGTTTCTGAAAATCAAGAGATTTCTTTGGCCTTTTTTATATTATTATTAATGGACAATGTAACCAAAAAAACTTTAAAATATATGTCCATTTCAGAGATTTAAATCCTAGTCAACATATGTTCTATATACGTCTTTGGTCAGTCATAAACCTTTTCAAAATTAACTATGATGGCATTCTCAAAGACATAAACAAAAGTATGAACATTACTACATTTGGGGTAAGAGGATAAATTTCAAGATTCTAGTTGTAATGGCCATGCCCACACTGGTGGCAGCGATGTTACCGAGAGAGTAACGAAGGGGTCACGCGCTGGGAAGGAGCTTGACTATGGCACAACAAACAAGCACCAACATCCTGTACCCAAGATGTGCAAAAAACAAGCAAATGAATAACATCAGCATACAACATCCACTGACTAGCAGAAGTGACGAATCACAACTACACATATATAATACTACATATAGTATAAAGCACTCCTTACACACAGGCAAATACAAGTAATAATGCACCGGAAATGTGGCATGTAATGAGACACACCAAAATAACTGTTATTTTCAGACATTTTCAAAAGGGAGATGATGGGAGCTGAATTATTATTATTATTATAGTTTCATTACAAATGTTTAGATCTCTCCAAGTGATGGACTATTAAAGAATTGTGTTCATCAGTCTCCCTGAACTTCACCAAAAGGTTAATTTATCCCATGCTTCCACCACTTTGAGGCAAGATTGGAAATTATGTTCTTCCACAAAGCGAGATTAGTGCTACTACTGTTGTAAGCAGGGGAGTGCTAGTGCTATGATCGCTTTGTGGATCGAGGCCCTGATCTGAAAAGCACCTCCTCTCCCCCTAGAGGAGAATTATCCAACACTAAATAGTAATTTGGTCTTATAGAGTGTCGCTCATCACTTGATGCCAAGTTTCTTCTTGATGAATCTGGCTACAACCTGCTGGGGCCGGTTGTGCCATTCCTCCATGACGTTGTGGGGCGTGGTGATCTGGTCTCCGTTCAGGCGGTCCAGCAGCGTCACACATATCACAGCACCTGGAACGTCACATCACATGGAGGAGTGAGTTGGGTTAATGCTCCTTTAAGAGTATTACAGTTATATCACGGCGTGTCAACTAAATGTTAGAGGAGAGCTGGCTTTGATGTAGGTCTCAGGCATTAACCACTTTGGTGAAACCCACAGGCACGAGTTTGGTGCTGGCAAACTTAGAAACATAATCAGGGCAAACCAGGAGTCGATAAACCCAGTGTCTGACAAGGTTAAGGAACGCAACTCTGCACAATGAATTCGGCGCCTTAGAGGACATGGTTACCTGAGTAGGGCTTCCACGAGTCCAATTTTTTGGACTCGAGTACCCGAGGGGTGAAACTCGACTCGTACTCGAGTACCCGAAAATAGGACGTCCTTTAAGAATATTGGTTCATTAGATCAAAATTGCCATCTAAAAGTATTAAAACATGTTATAAGTATAATTGAACTGCACTGAAATGTAAATAGAAAGCGTCCACTGAAATAGCACATATATACCAGCTAATCAGTAGTTAATCTGTGTAAGGGAATACACTTGGCATTTGAATTGGAGCAAAGAAGCAATAATCTCCTAATAATTACGTCTATTTTATGTGACATTCTCAATTGTTCTAATGTACATCTACTTTCTACAAAGAATACATTATTCAAACAATATTTTTTGAAGCTTTAATCAATATATTGATGAACAATTGAACATTGAAACAGAGTGATCTCCCTTTATCGAGTACTCGAATCCTTGATAACGGACTCGAGTCCCACTAAAACCGACCCGGCCTCGAGTACTCGTTGAAGCCCTATACCTGAGCCTCCTACATCACATAGAATACAGAAACTACTTACTTGTATACTGTTGTAATTTTTAGTGTAAACAATACACTCCAAAACAAACATAATGGTGATATGTGACATTGAAATTAATAATATTACATTATTATGGACACTGTGACTTTCCAGGCCGATGAATCTTCTGTGTACACAATAGGGCTGGGATGGTTAACTCAGGTACTCGGGTGAGTGAGTTGGGTTTAACGCCACTTTGAACAGTATTCCAGTTATATCACGGCATGTCAGCTTAATGTGGGAGGAAAGCCTGAAGTGATTCAGGTCTCAGACGTTTACCACTTTGGTGAAACCCATAAGCATGGGTATGTTGCTGACAAACCTAGAAACATAATCGGGGCGAACTGGGATTCGAACCCATGATCATAGGTTTCTGGCGTGCCCAAGGCACGCAACTGCACAGTGAATTGTGTTGCCTTAGACGACTGGGCCACCCATGCCCCCCCGGTACCCAAAGGACTACCCGGACAACGTCAGTCACATTATGTATTGGTAAATGACGACAACAATAGAACTCCATGGTTACACTGCAAAGACGCTAATGTTCACATTTCGATAAAACTTCAAACAACTTCAGTGTATGCATGATCACATTGTATTGTATGTGTATCTAAATAGTTTTGCGAGAGCTCCAGCGACTTACAGTGGGTACCCTGGGAGGGCTGGGTAACAGGGGATCAGGTACCAAGTTAGTAAATTTGTACTTGTCCCAGCCCTAGTTCATTTGTTTGTTTGTTGTTTAACGCAGGCACTCAGCAGTATTCAAACACATGCAAACATTAGTCCAGATAATAATTTTATTAGAACCAGATATTACAATAATAGGATTAAATTGCGTACTTCCGTTCAGATTTGTTGACTGGTATTTCCAGTGTTACATGATCGTGGTGATCAGCTGGTAACGTTTTCTGAGATGGTGGAAAACACCCTGTCATTGGAAAACTTGAGTTTATTAAAAATGTCAGTAAATTTGGGGAGCCATGCTTTACCGCGCGCTATAACCGAGTTAGCGCTATATTGAAGAGCGCAATAGCGAGGGAACACTGCATAGTCTTTGCAAGCATCCCCTACTAAGACTGAACATTAACATGACAGTCCCCAGGGTCCATCTTTAACCAAGCTACAAACAAGTACACATGGTGGGGAATAATAATATTGTATACTATGATAGTTCACCTCACATCACAGAGAATAACAAGATTGTATAAACATGTACAATGGCATTTCATTCTGATGGTGGGGAATAACCATACTGTATAACAACAGTATATACAATGACATCTTCTCGAGGCAAGGGAGTTAACTGACTATAAAAGTCCCGTCTCCCCCCGAACTAGGCTGGAATTGCGGAGTTACAGTTTCGTTTGGCTGGATTAACGAGTCTATGCATAGACCAATCAAAATCGCATAACGAACTAGACATCCAGTTCGTAAACAACATGGTTTTCAGCGTGCAGATGTCTGTTGACTGCAGGATATGCAAAGCATGTGTACCATCAACTGGGCATCGATAGATATTTTGCAAATCTTTTCAAGTTTTTAATCAAGGTGCTCAAGTGATCTGATGCACTTAGCAGGGTAATACCTGTTTTATTACAATATAGATCTTGATTATCAATCATCGTCTTGACTGGGCGTCACCATTTGGTTTAAGCAAATGCAAGCGATATGAGTGATGGAATTTTACTGGTCAATAGGAGGGACAGAGAAGGGACATAACTCGTAATAGCCACTGGTGGCACTACGATTGAACCCAGAAATTCCAGCCTTGTTCAGCAAGGGTGGATACTGGACTTTTATAGTCAGTTAACGCCCTTGCCTCGGGAAGATGATACAATGATAGTTCACCTCTGATGGTGGGAAAGAACCATGTTGTATAACTAGAATGTAAAAATGATGTTTACCTCTTATGTTTGCCCTGTGGCAGTAGGCAGCAAAGCAGAGCGACTCCATCTCAATATTGCGGATACCCTTGTCATGGATACGTCTGAGGAACGCCATCTTGTCTGCCTGGGTGTAGTCACAGAACGCTCCGTCCAGACGAGCTTGACCTAGGAAATAAGACACTTGAGTTACTGAACACATGAAAACTTACATTGGGATATAGCTAAGGTGATAAACTGGCATGCGTTTGACATAGATTTACAACAGTCATACATAGTCAATACTTTGTGGAACGGAGCCCTGGGATCCTTGAAGTTTTCTGTTGTTTGAACCTGGGGATCTTTACTTTTCAACAATGGAGTAAGGACAAGGGCGCTTGATTCACATCAATGATATTAAAGTGACTTCCGTAATAAGCTCCATCATTCTGGCTTCACACACATAGCCGCAGCCTGCACAATTTACATTAGTTTCACCTTCGTTGCCGTTGTACAAAGCAATCTTAGCGCTAAGGTGATCTTAACTACCATACACTCACATAGACTTACGACAGTCGTAGTGCTAAGGTTGTTTTGTACAACGGCACCCTGGGACTTATGGCTAATGACACAATGGTTGACACACTCAGTTTTCAGTTCAGACAGTCTTACATTTTTAGAGTGAGTGAGTATGGTTTAGCCCCTTTTTTTCAATATTCTAGCAATATCACAGTGGGGGACACCAGAAATGGGCTTCACACATTGTACCCATGTCGGGAATCGAACCTGGGTCTTCGGCGTCACGAGCAAACGCTTTAACAACTAGGCTACCCGACAGCCCCTACATTTTTAGACTATTAAAGTAATGAGATCACATGTTCTTAGCCTACACAGGAGTTTACCTTTGTAAAGTACACATCATGGTCAAAGGATCTACCCATCACAGAAGTCAGATCGTGTCGAGTGGTGATAGATATTCGTTACCGTAATTGACGTAATAAGCGCCCAGGACGCTCTCAAAAATAGAAATAGGGGGCTCTGATTAGAATATTATTTTGGTGAAAAAAACAGAGTTGAAAGATAAATTTCGTGGTTTATGCTGACAGCCTTAATGTTTATGTACAACAGATATATTTTTCCAGAATTTAATTGCCCAAAATTAAGGGTGCATATAGCCGGTGCACGAGTGTGTATTATACGAGAAGTGTCTTGTGTACAGCATGTACAGTGATCAATTGGAAGGGTGCCAATTGGGATTGTTCACTAGCCAATATATTAGCAAATATCGCCGTTGGCGCTTATCAGTGCAGGGCGCTTATTACGTCGAATACGGTAATAGTTAAATCCTACTCAGTATAGGGTATAACCTCCAGCTCAGTGAAGATGGGGAAAGAATTGGTCTTGAACAGCAAACCCATTCTTGTCATAATAGGCGTCTAATGGGATCGGGTAGTCAGGCTTGCTGACTTGGTTGATGCATGTCATCCTATCTCAATTGTGTAGATCAATTCTCATGATGTCAATCACAGGATCATCTGTTCCAGACCTGATCATTTTATGAAAAACGGCACCACATAACTGGGATATTGCAGCATCAAACAACAGAAACATGAACACAGATCGTCTTACCTTCATAGAAGTCATGCGTGCACATGGTCTTCCCGATGATGGTCTGGAAATGGTCGTCCTCCGACGCCATGGCCAGCAGCTCCTGACACAGTTCCTTGTCAAGGAAGGAAGGAAGCTGAACCATCATGCCCATGATTGCCTGCAAGGTCAAGGTCGTATTTCATGACGGTATTGATGCCTTTTAGTACTTGTGTCCGAGCCTAAATGTGATATACCAAGACATGTGTAAGAATCAATGTACATTTGTATATCATATACACAAGGTATTTTGTGCAACCCCAGGATGTCACATCACACAAAACTTGTTTGGAATCAAGGTGTCAATTATTTGCCCCCTATATAACCTATGTCCTATAAAGAAGTAAAACTACTGATTATCTGTCCTGAAGAACTACAGATTATCTCTCCCGAGGAACTACAGATTATCTCTCCCGAGGTACAACAGATTATCTCTCCCACCAGAAATGGGCTTCACACATTGTACCCATGTCGGGAATCCAACCCGGGTCTTCGGCGTCACGAGCAAACGCTTTAACCACTAGGCTACCCGACAGCTCCTTCATTTTGAGACTATTAAAGTAATGAGATCACATGTTCTTGGCCTACACAGGAGTTTACCTTTGTAAAGTACACATCATGGTAAAGGATCTACCCTTCACAGAAGTCAGATCGTGTCGAGTGGTGATAGATATTCGTTACCAACTTGTAATGTCTCATTTTGAAATTAATTTCCACAGTCTTGTTTGTTGGAAATATTAATTTCCGATATGGCAAGGTCATGGCTGGTTGGACCGTCTCTGTGGTCTAGTGGTAAAACATCTGACCGGAGAGAGGAAGGTCCAGGGTTCAAACCCCTGCCTTGTCATAACAAAAGATGTTAAAAGATTGTACTTGTTGTTACCCTGCCTGGCGTTCAGTATGAAGGGGCTAAAACAAGGACTGGTCGGCTCGGAGTTAGTATACTGTGACGGAGTGGGGTATTCATGTTAAACAACGGCATGGTATCTCAGTGGGCTCATAAGCACTATAAATCGGCATGAGTTCGGACTAGTACAAGCAGCCACACACACGTGCATGCATGTCGCTATATAAGTGCAATAATCTTGGACTCGACGTTAAACACAATTTCACCTCACCATTATCATTTGATAAACATTGGACAGAGTTATTCCCCTTGGATACATTATTGTCTATTTAGTAGTAATGGTTGTCAGACGTTTTTACCCTTTAAAATATGAACATTGGTGTTCCAGCTTTCCAATCAAAAAGATGTTATATGACTTGGCTTGCTATTTAAATAAGGCTGTATTTTGGGCTATTTGACTTATCGTCTATGACTGCATCCCTCCACATTGGCAAATGTCAACTACACTACTCAAAAGAAGTTAAAGAATACCCAATATTTTCGTATGACTATAGTTAATTTGTCATGGGTCGTGGGTATTGCGACACACAGCCTTCCAATTGTGAGTGTTCTTTGAACTTTCTTTGAAGTGAAACAGGGTTTAATGCCAGGTTCAACATTATTACACTCATACAGCGACGTGCATGCACGTGTGTGTGGCTGCTTGTACTGGGTACTAGTCCGGACTCATGCTGATTTTATACTACCAGCCCACTGAGATACCATGCTGCAGTTCAACATGAATGCCCCACTCAGACACAGCATACTGTCTCTGAGCCGACCAGTCCTTGTTTTAGCCCCATAATGCCGAGCGCCAGACATGGTAACAACTAGTACCATCTTTTAACATCTTTTAGGTATGACGCGGCTGGGGATCTAACCCCGAGCCTTCCGCTCTCTGGGCAGATGCTCTACCACTAGACCACGGAGGCGGTCAACTTGTTTTGAGTCGTATACTGGACATTCATTCGTGAGGAGTACTCACCACCTCCATGTATGGCCTGAGGATGCCATCGACAGCCTCACTAGTGATCACAACGGACCCTGCTTCCAGACCTGCCAACCAATACACAGCCATTAGTGGTACAGGTGCATTAATGTTTTTATTGTCACAGTCAGCAATATTTATCTATATCCCATCTGGGGATGATCCTGGAAATTTTATGTTTGACAGAAAAATCTTCCCTGGTCCAAATGCAATGAGATTTTTTTTAGTGTGATGAGATTTTGCTTATTATCAGAGATACTTCATCTTCAAACAGTGGAAACTGTATTTGATTTTTGTTATTTTTTACTAGATTTATGATGCAATTAATGTTACTAGATAATATAGATATATCCTCGCATATCCTATTTTCGAAAACTTAATTATTCCACAGCAAAAAAATAAAAAAATATTTGTATATTATTGGATAATGAGCATTGTCCACTGAAATAATATACTAATTACATTTATTCATTGTCGACTTATAGGAATTATTCGCGAGTACAATTATAAACCGTTTAGAAGACATGTTAACAACAACCAGCTGTTCATTTCATTGGAATGTGAGAGACAACAATAAGCTATTCTCAGATTTCTAGGTCTTTGACATAGATTGTAATTGAATAATCTTAGCAGTAAGGCAGCTATGTAGAAAAGGCACTACAATCGTCTTAGCAGTAATAGAGCTGTGTAGAAAAGGCACTACAACCATCTAAGCAGTAAGAGAGCTGTGTGGAAATGGGCACTACAATCATATTAGCAGTAAGAGAGCTGTGTAGAAAAGGCACTACAATCATCTTAGCAGTAAGAGAGCTGTGTAGAAATGGCACTACAACCATCTAAGCAGTAAGAGAGCTGTGTGGAAATGGGCACTACAATCATATTAGCAGTAAGAGAGCTGTGTAGAAAAGGCACTACAATCATCTTAGCAGTAAGAGAGCTGTGTAGAAATGGCACTACAACCATCTAAGCAGTAAGAGAGCTATGTAGAAAAGGCACTACAATCGTCTTAGCAGTAATAGAGCTGTGTAGAAAAGGCACTACAACCATCTAAGCAGTAAGAGAGCTGTGTGGAAATGGGCACTACAATCATCTTAGCAGTAAGAGAGCTGTGTAGAAATGGCACTACAACCATCTAAGCAGTAAGAGAGCTGTGTAGAAATGGGCGCTACAATCATCTTGGCAGTAAGATAGCTGTGTAAAAAAAGGCACTACAATCATGTTAGCAGTAAGAGAGTTGTGTAGAAATGGGCGCTACAATCATCTTAGCAGTAATAGAGCTGTGTAGAAATGGGCACTACAATCATCTTAGCAGTAAGAGAGCTCTGTGGAAATGGGCACTACAACCATCTAAGCAGTAAGAGAGCTGTGTAGAAATGGGCACTACAATCATCTTAGCAGTAATAGAGCTGTGTAGAAATGGGCACTACAATCATCTTAGCAGTAATAGAGCTGTGTAGAAATGGGCACTACAATCATCTTAGCAGTAAGAGAGCTGTGTAGAAATGGGCACTACAATCATCTTAGCAGTAAGAGAGCTGTGTGGAAACAGGCACTACAATCATCTTGGCAGTAAGAGAGCTGTGTAGAAATTGGCACTAAGCCATCTTAGCAGTAATAGAGCTGTGTAGAAATGGGCACTACAATCATCTTAGCAGTAAGAGAGCTGTGTAGAAAAGGCACTACAACCATCTAAGCAGTAAGAGAGCTGTGTAGAAATGGCACTACAACCATCTAAGCAGTAAGAGAGCTGTGTAGAAATGGGCGCTACAACCATCTTAGCAGTAAGAGAGCTGTGTAGAAATGGGCACTACAATCATCTTAGCAGTAAGAGAGCTGTGTAGAAATGGGCACTACAATCATCTTAGCAGTAAGATAGCTGTGTAGAAAAGGCACTACAATCATCTTAGCAGTAAGAGAGCTGTGTAGAAATGGGCACTACAATCATCTTAGCAGTAAGATAGCTGTGTAGAAATGGCACTACAATCATCTTAGCAGTAAGAGAGCTGTGTAGAAATGGCACTACAATCATCTTAGCAGTAATAGAGCTGTGTAGAAATGGGCACTACAACCATCTAAGCAGTAAGAGAGCTGTGTAGAAATGGGCACTACAACCATCTAAGCAGTAAGAGAGCTGTGTAGAAATGGGCACTACAACCATCTAAGCAGTAAGAGAGCTGTGTAGAAATGGGCACTACAATCATCTTAGCAGTAATAGAGCTGTGTAGAAATGGGCACTACAACCATCTTAGCAGTAATAGAGCTGTGTAGAAATGGGCACTACAATCATCTTAGCAGTAAGAGAGCTGTGTAGAAATGGGCACTACAATCATCTTAGCAGTAAGATAGCTGTGTAGAAAAGGCACTACAATCATATTAGCAGTAAGAGAGTTGTGTAGAAATGGGCGCTACAATCATCTTAGCAGTAAGAGAGTTGTGTAGAAATGGCACTACAACCATCTAAGCAGTAAGAGAGCTGTGTAGAAATGGGCGCTACAATCATCTTGGCAGTAAGATAGCTGTGTAGAAATGGGCACTACAATCATCTTAGCAGTAAGAGAGCTGTGTAGAAATTGGCACTAAGCCATCTTAGCAGTAATAGAGCTGTGTAGAAATGGGCACTACAATCATCTTAGCAGTAAGAGAGCTGTGTGGAAACAGGCACTACAATCATCTTGGCAGTAAGAGAGCTGTGTAGAAATTGGCACTAAGCCATCTTAGCAGTAATAGAGCTGTGTAGAAATGGGCACTACAATCATCTTAGCAGTAAGATAGCTGTGTAGAAAAGGCACTACAATCATCTTAGCAGTAAGAGAGCTGTGTAGAAATGGGCACTACAACCATCTAAACAGTAAGAGAGCTGTGTAGAAATGGCACTACAACCATCTAAGCAGTATGAGAGCTGTGTAGAAATGGGCACTACAATCATCTTAGTAGCAAGATAGCTGTATAGAAATGGGCACTACAACCATCTTAGCAGTAATAGAGCTGTGTAGAAATGGGCACTACAATCATCTTAGCAGTAAGGCAGCTATGTAGAAATGGGCGCTACAATCATCTTAGCAGTAAGATAGCTGTGTAGAAATGGGCACTACAACCATCTTAGCAGTAAGAGAGCTGTGTAGAAATGGGCACTACAATCATCTTAGCAGTAAGAGAGCTGTGTAGAAAAGGCACTACAACCATCTAAGCAGTAAGAGAGCTGTGTAGAAATTGGCACTACAATCATCTTAGCAGTAAGAGAGCTGTGTAGAAATGGGCACTACAATCATCTTAGCAGTAAGAGAGCTGTGTAGAAATGGCACTACAACCATCTTAGCAGTAAGAGAGCTGTGTAGAAATGGCACTACAACCATCTTAGCAGTAAGAGAGCTGTGTAGAAATGGCACTACAATCATATTAGCAGTAAGAGAGCTGTGTAGAAATGGCACTACAATCATCTTGGCAGTAAGAGAGCTGTGTAGAAATGGCACTACAACCATCTAAGCAGTAAGAGAGCTGTGTAGAAATGGCACTACAACCATCTTAGCAGTAATAGAGCTGTGTAGAAATGGGCACTACAATCATATTAGCAGTAAGAGAGCTGTGTAGAAATGGCACTACAATCATCTTAGCAGTAAGAGAGCTGTGTAGAAATGGCACTACAACCATCTAAGCAGTAAGAGAGCTGTGTAGAAATGGCACTACAACCATCTTAGCAGTAATAGAGCTGTGTAGAAATGGGCACTACAATCATATTAGCAGTAAGAGAGCTGTGTAGAAATGGGCACTACAATCATCTTAGCAGTAAGATAGCTGTGTAGGAAAGGCACTACAATCATATTAGCAGTAAGAGAGTTGTGTAGAGATGGGCGCTACAATCATCTTAGCAGTAAGAGAGCTGTGTAGAAATGGCACTACAACCATCTAAGCAGTAAGAGAGCTGTGTAGAAATGGGCGCTACAATCATCTTGGCAGTAAGATAGCTGTGTAGAAATGGGCACTACAATCATGTTAGCAGTAAGAGAGCTGTGTAGAAATTGGCACTAAGCCATCTTAGCAGTAATAGAGCTGTGTAGAAATGGGCACTACAATCATCTTAGCAGTAAGAGAGCTGTGTGGAAACAGGCACTACAATCATCTTGGCAGTAAGAGAGCTGTGTAGAAATTGGCACTAAGCCATCTTAGCAGTAATAGAGCTGTGTAGAAATGGGCACTACAATCATCTTAGCAGTAAGATAGCTGTGTAGAAAAGGCACTACAATCATCTTAGCAGTAAGAGAGCTGTGTAGAAATGGGCACTACAACCATCTAAGCAGTAAGAGAGCTGTGTAGAAATGGCACTACAACCATCTAAGCAGTAAGAGAGCTGTGTAGAAATGGGCACTACAATCATCTTAGCAGTAAGATAGCTGTGTAGAAATGGGCACTACAACCATCTTAGCAGTAAGAGAGCTGTGTAGAAATGGGCACTACAATCATCTTAGCAGTAAGGCAGCTATGTAGAAATGGGCGCTACAATCATCTTAGCAGTAAGATAGCTGTGTAGAAATGGGCACTACAACCATCTTAGCAGTAAGAGAGCTGTGTAGAAATGGGCACTACAATCATCTTAGCAGTAAGAGAGCTGTGTAGAAATGGGCACTACAATCATCTTAGCAGTAAGAGAGCTGTGTAAAAAAGGCACTACAACCATCTAAGCAGTAAGAGAGCTGTGTAGAAATGGGCACTACAATCATCTTAGCAGTAAGAGAGCTGTGTAGACATGGGCACTACAACCATCTTAGCAGTAATAGAGCTGTGTAGAAATTGGCACTAAGCCATCTAAGCAGTAAGAGAGCTGTGTAGAAATGGGCACTACAATCATCTTAGCAGTAAGAGAGCTGTGTAGAAATGGGCACTACAATCATCTTAGCAGTAAGAGAGCTGTGTAGAAATGGGCACTACAATCATCTTAGCAGTAAGAGAGCTGTGTAGAAATGGGCACTACAATCATCTTAGCAGTAAGATAGCTGTGTAGAAAAGGCACTACAACCATCTAAGCAGTAAGAGAGCTGTGTAGAAATGGGCACTACAATCATCTTAGCAGTAAGATAGCTGTGTAGAAAAGGCACTACAATCATATTAGCAGTAAGAGAGCTGTGTAGAAATGGGCACTACAATCATCTTAGCAGTAAGATAGCTGTGTAGAAAAGGCACTACAATCATCTTAGCAGTAAGAGAGCTGTGTAGAAATGGCACTACAACCATCTAAGCAGTAAGAGAGCTGTGTAGAAATGGGCACTACAATCATCTTAGCAGTAAGATAGCTGTGTAGAAAAGGCACTACAATCATATTAGCAGTAAGAGAGTTGTGTAGAAATGGGCGCTACAATCATCTTAGCAGTAAGAGAGCTGTGTAGAAATGGCACTACAACCATCTAAGCAGTAAGAGAGCTGTGTAGAAATGGGCGCTACAACCATCTTAGCAGTAAGAGAGCTGTGTAGAAATGGCACTACAATCATCTTAGCAGTAAGATAGCTGTGTAGAAAAGGCATTACAATCATCTTAGCAGTAAGAGAGCTGTGTAGAAATGGCACTACAACCATCTAAGCAGTAAGAGAGCTGTGTAGAAATGGGCACTACAATCATCTTGGCAGTAAGATAGCTGTGTAGAAAAGGCACTACAATCATGTTAGCAGTAAGAGAGTTGTGTAGAAATGGGCGCTACAATCATCTTAGCAGTAATAGAGCTGTGTAGAAATGGGCACTACAATCATCTTAGCAGTAAGAGAGCTGTGTGGAAACAGGCACTACAATCATCTTGGCAGTAAGAGAGCTGTGTAGAAATTGGCACTAAGCCATCTTAGCAGTAATAGAGCTCTGTGGAAACAGGCACTACAATCATATTAGCAGTGAGAGAGCTCTGTACAAACAGGCACTACAATCATCTGAGCAGTAATAGAGCTGTGTAGAAATGGGCGAAAAATCAATCATTTTCGGAGTAATAGAGCTGTGTAGAAATGGGCACTACAATCATCTTAGCAGTAAGAGAGTTGTGTAGAAATGGGCACTACAATCATCTTAGCAGTAAGAGAGCTGTGTAGAAATGGGCACTACAATCATCTTAGCAGTAAGAGAGCTGTGTAGAAATGGGCACTACAATCCTCTTAGCAGTAAGAGCTGTGTAGAAATGGGCACTACAATCATCTTAGCAGTAAGAGAGCTGTGTAGAAATGGGCGCTACAATCATCTTAGCCGTAATAGAGCTGTGTAGAAATGGGCACTACAATCATCTTAGCAGTGAGACATTTTTGTGTCTAAGGTTATTGTGGAGTACTGACCGAGCCCTCCACTGGTGCCGATGCGGAACAGCGTCACCCCGGAACACTCAGCATGCTGCAGCAGCTTCAGTATCTCATGCATGATGATAGAGAGCGACGGGATGCCCATACCATGCTGACATGGAAACATAAAGGGGTATGCATCTCATTGTTCATGACATCTGTCCCAGCCTAGAGTATAGACACACTAACAGACATGACATCTGGCACAGCCTAGAGTATAGACACACCAACAGGCATGACATCTGGCACAGCCTAGAGTATACTCACACTAACAGGCATGACATCTGGCACAGCCTAGAGAATACTCACACTAACAGGCATGACATCTGGTACAGCCTAGAGTAAACTCACACTTACAGGCAGGACATCTGGCACAGCCTAGAGTATACTTACACTTACAGACATGACATCTGGCACAGCTTAGAGTATACTCACACTTACAGACATGACATCTGGCACAGCCTAGAGTATACTCACACTTACAGGCATGACATCTGGCACAGTTCAGAGTATACTCACTATTACTGTCAACACTGGCCCTGTCTTGTCGATGGAATATGTCACAGTTTAGAGTATACTCACACTAACAGACAACACTGGCCCTGTCTTGTCGATAGAATATGTCACAGTTTAGAGTATACTCACTATAACTGTCAACACTGGCCCTGTCTTGTCGATGGAATATGTCACAGTTTAGAGTATACTCACACTAACAGACAACACTGGCCCTGTCTTGTCGATAGAATATGTCACAGTTTAGAGTATACTCACTATAACTGTCAACACAGGCCCTGTCTTGTCGATAGAATATGTCACAGTTTAGAGTATGCTCACTATAACTGTCAACACAGGCCCTGTCTTGTCGATAGAATATGTCACAGTTTAGAGTATACTCACACTAACTGTCAACACAGGCCCTGTCTTGTCGATAGAATATGTCACAGTTTAGAGTATACTCACACTAACTGTCAACACTGGCCCTGTCTTGTCGATGGAATATGTCACAGTTTAGAGTATACTCACTATAACTGTCAACACTGGCCCTGTCTTGTCGATGGAATATGTCACAGTTTAGAGTATACTCACTATAACTGTCAACACTGGCCCTGTCTTGTCGATAGAATATGTCACAGTTTAGAGTATACTCACTATAACTGTCAACACTGGCCTTGCTTGTCGATGGAATATGTCACAGTTTAGAGTATACTCACTATAACTGTCAACACAGGCCCTGTCTTGTCGATGGAATGTGTCACAGTTTAGAGTGTACTCACACTAACAGACAACACTGGCCCTGTCTTGTAGATGACATATCTGTCAGACCCATTGGCGATGTTGTATAGTGTCATCCCGGCAGGTATTTTGATACGAAGCTGCTCCTTCATAAATTCTGCAAACTTCAGCATTCTGGTCGGTGAGCCTCCAAAGCATACAAACTACAAAGAGAAGCAAGGGAGCAGTTGAGTTTAGTAGTGCTTCAAAATTAATCATTCATTTCACAGCTAGTCAGATAAATGTGACACAGATCCTGATCATTTTTGTGAAACCCATGAGCACATGCAGGGTGCTGACAGACCAGGGATCATACCGGGTAATTGGGTCAAATCTGGAATTCAAACCTCTATAATCAGCAGATCCTAGCACAATTAAGGGAAACAACTTTGTAGAAACTGAACGCAGTGGCTATCCATGCCTGCCAACAGAAGTAGCATTGATTTCAAACACTCTAAACATTAGCAAATTGAATTTCTACTCTGAAAGATATTCTGGAATAGAAACCATATTTAGTGGACAAATAATAGTATCTGAATATCATCAGTGAATACAATATGTAATTTTCTTCTTCAAACTGAGACCCGTGAAGATCCAGGGCAGAATAGGTCTTCAGCAACCCATGCTTTCTGTAAAAGGGGACTATGCTTGTCGTAAGAGACGACTAATGGGATCAGGTGGTCAGGCTCGCTGACTTGGTTGATGCTTGTCATAGATCCCAATTGTGTGGATTGATGCTCATGTTGCCAATCACTGGATTGTCTGGTCCAGACTCAATTATTTACAGACCGCCGTCATATAGTTGGAATATTGCTGTGTGCGGCGTTAAACAACGAACAATCATCAATCAATTCTTCCAACTGAAAGATCACCAGTTCAATGCAGTTAATAATGCTTGGTAAATGCAGTGTTTATTCCTAATACAGGATATTTACCATCCCAAAACACACTTGTGTGATATAGTTACTTCTATATACCTAATAAACAGTCAAACAAGTTACAACTTGAGCTGAATTCTTAGTCTGATAAGTTTTGAAAATTCTGATAACTGACCTTGACATCATTGAACATCTCATGAAGGTCATGTGTCTTGTCGCCAAGAGCAATATGGTAGAGATAGTCTTCTTCCATGGTCGCTATGTGAGGATTCTGGATCTTAATAGGCCCATCTCTGACAAAACACAACACAAGCTACTATTGAAAGTGAAACGAGCGAGTATGTTCTAGGGCTGGGACGGGTCACTCAGGTACTCGTGTCGGGTGGGTACTGAGAAGGACCCAGGTACCAACAGGATAGGGCTGGGACGAGTCCAAATTTACTACCCTGGTACCCACCACCCTATTACCCGACCCTACCCAGGGTATCCATGTTTGAATAAGGATAAAATGTCATTCAACTTAAGTGTATGCATGACCAGATCATTTTATATGCGTATCTAAAAACATTGCGCCAGGGCTATGGTCAAACTATTCCCAATCAGACATTTTGTACCTATCTCTTGACACCTACAGTGGGTAATGGGGCAGTGGGTACCCGGGTAGTAGATTTGGACTCGTTCCAGCCCGTGTATGTTCTTTTTTAAAACCTTGACCTGTGTCATGGCATGTGAATGCTATAACAGCAAGGTGATGAAATGCTTTAACCACTAAACTGCTTCATTGTCCTGTAAAGGTGGAAGATCATATTTGCAGCCATGTTGTCCATTGCTCAGCCACTGTATCATTCGGGAATTTGTTTTTTGTTCGTTTGTTTGTTTACTAAACACCAAACTCAGCAATATTCCAGCTATATGACAGCAGTTCGTGAATAATCGAGTCTGGACCAGACAATCCAGTGATTGACATCATGAGCATCAATCCACGCAAATGGGATACGATGAAATGCATCAACCAAGTCAGAAATCCTGACCACCAGATCCTGTGAGTCGCCTCTTATGACAAGAGTAGTCGGCTTTTATGGCAAATATGGGTTGCTGAAAACCTTTACTAACCCAGATCTTCACGGGTAATTTGTTTGATTTTTTCCCCCACTATGACCTTTGCCCTTCACACACACAGCTATACTGCAGTTTTTCTCTTCTGAAACCTCAGGGTTTATGAAGCTGAAGCTGTGCTTTGTCACCCCAGCAATGGCATCTCTAAATTATGCTCCCGGAATTCTGATCTGAGTTCAAACATGGTTGCCACAGCAGGCATATTGAAAATGTCCTTTCAAAGCATTGCTCAGACATTTCACAGGTATAATTATGAATTGTCACATGCAGTATGTATGTGCTATTTCCATTAATTTCATGAATTACAGCAGTAAAAATTCCCAAATACTAGTCTCATCCAAGCACATACCAAACAAATTTGTACTGTGCTGAACAAAATGATATGTTTCAGACACTGACTTGACACCTAGCTGTGATTGATGGTGGACCATTAGTCTTTTGAGTAAAACACTAATAACGAACATTTGGCGTGACTTACTTGGAACTTTTTATGGTTTTGTTGTCACAATTCACTTCCATTCTGATGAAATAACTGCACACTTGAGGTCCAAATGTAGGAAGCGAATGTCTACACTGAGAAAGGGAGGATCGATTCTCCCATAGGATCACTTCAACTCTCCAAATGTACTCACTGCGGGTGGTAGTCCTCCTCTCTTGCAGAGTCGAGGTTGTTGAAACTACGAGTTGGACTCATGCCAGATATATCCATCCTTGCCAGCTGTTGTCCTGTGGTGGTAATTTATTAATGAATATACTGCAGCAAATATAAACAATAAAATGATTCAAAACAATTCCTAGCTGTATTCATTTCCATATTACTGAATGGCTTCAAATTATCAGAGCATCTATCAAGGCTCCAGTAAACGTTTTAAGCTACTGAGATATTAGCAGTTTCACAAAGCGTGTAAATTCATGTCTGGAGGGGCTGTCGGGTAGCCTAGTGGTTAAAGCGTTCACTCGTCATGCTGAAGACCTGGGTTCGATTCCCGACATGGGTACAATATGTGAAGCCCATTTCTGGTGTCCTCCACCGTGACATTGCTGGAATATTGCTAAAAGCGGCGTAAAACCATACCCACTCACTCATGTCTGGATATAACTTTGTGGAAAATACAATAGTTATTATTGTTAATAATTCTAAGAATACTACCTCTATTACATCATAGCCATAAATCCTGTATTTTGGCTGCAGACACACTATAACTAAATCTTCAGATTTACAACAGAAGTCCTCTTCACTGTCAACTACACACAACTAGTTCTTCCCCTAATAGCACATGTAGCTCTTCAGCTCCTATGTTCAAAAAGGCAGGAAAAACGTCACTTCTCAAGACAGTATTGAGGCGGCTCAAGACAGTATTTGATACTGAGTGAAAGGCCTCACAACCATAGTCTAATTTTGATCTGATAAGTGATTTGTAGAGGTCCAGCTGAGTGTCTCTCAAGGTACGCCAAGATGTGCCTGAAACTGCCTGCAATATGTTAGGTCTTTTGATGTCTGTTTTCTACATATTCTACATGTTTGCTCCAGGTGAGGTGTTGATCTCGGATCACCCCTGGAAATTTTGCCAATTTTCCAAATTTGATTGGTTTGCCATTCATGGAGGGTAAGACAGCAACCACAGCTATTATTATAAGAGGGACAGTCCTAATTGGATTGCTCTAGTGAAAGTGAAGCTTGCCAGAAATTGATGTGGAACTATGTAGTTTTTGTACATTGCAAAAGTTAATCGATATATGTGTATATAATTTTGCTTCTATTCTGGATTATCTCCTCATTAGCTTGTTGTTCAGATTATTATTACAATGATATGTGTCTGTAATTTAATGTTCGATCTATTTACAGTTTTAGTTATTAGTGTCAGTATAAGTATATAGTGTATATAGTACATAGTGTAGTTAGTATTAGTATTAATATTAGCATTAGTTATTAGTGTCAGTATTAGTATATAGAGTATATAGTACAAAGTGTAGTTAGTATTAATATTAGCATTAGTTATTAGTGTCAGTATTAGTATATAGTGTATATATTACATAGTGTAGTTAGTATTAATATTAGCATTAGTTATTAGTGTCAGTATTAGTGTATAGTGTATATATTACATAGTGTAGTTAGTATTATTATTAGCATTAGTTATTAGTATTATTATTCTTCCCCGCCCTGAAGGCGGGGAAGTATACGGGAAACGTTAATTTTGTAGCATGTATGTCGACATGTTGGTTTATTTGAAATTTCAAGCCACGCATTTACGGAAACAAAACATACAAATCATGTGAGTGGAATGTTGATGCTATTCTTTTCCAGCAATAAGAGATACTTCAAAATCGTCTTAAGTAGTTAATTGATGCATATGACCGTTTCTGGTCATTAGCTGACAGTATTAAACCATTCATGTGTAACCCGATGTCCTTTTTTCCTCAAGGACTAATTTTCTGATTTTCACGGTGTATACAAAAGAAGAACTCCGGAGATCGTAAATAACAGCATAATATAAAATATGTTCTGAATATGCTTATTCATGAACAACGACGACATCTCAATTTAAATGTAATATGGCTGAATTCCACATTCTACATACCACATTTGTATTGTTTGGATGCTCATGTTCACTGAAAATATTTTGAATAGTTATGTTCCGTATTTTGAATTAACCCAGTCCCCCGTGTTTTTTTAATCAGTGCACCGCACATAGCCACATGTGAAACGTTTGGTAGCAAAGTCATGGCAAAATCAGAGTAGTGTGTCGGCGAATTTGCATCAAGGCTGTAGTATTTTTCAACCTTTTAATGGGATTCAATGTACAGCCGTAGCTCTGGTCGCTATCATATACTTTGTGTCCCATGGCTAAAATCTATTTGCGTCAGTACCGTGTTCCACTGACCTCGATAATCTGTTGGATGAAGGCACAGCTCTCTACACTCACATAGTTAACACCGAAGGCAATGAGGTATTTTGTAGGTCATAATCAGCAGGTTACAGGCCGGCAAAGCCACATTTCGAAAATAGATAGCCCAAATTGATGTGGCTCTCGCGGCAATGGTTATGGTTGCGTGAGTGTATAATGTGGCTCTCGCGGCTATGCTGTCAACACATGCTTTGTGATTCTAACAGGTTACCGTATATAACAAAACAAGTCTTGTTTTCTCATTTTTTATTCAACAAGGATAACATATTCATCAAAACTTTACATTGTTGAATATGAATAGCATATGAATATCATGATGGATTTAATGTCATTACTGCAGATGAAGGAGGTCGCCCACGTGGTCAGCATATTCCATCTCACTCAGGTGTTGGTTTAGGAGCTGGATCTTGAGGGACGCAATACGTGCATCGATTGCCTTGTACTTCTTTCTTCTTGAAGGTTCTGACCACTGGTGAGAGAGTCTCAGGACTGCAACTTCTTTGAGTGACTGCTCTCGCTGAAATAGCTTCACTACCTCGTAGATGTTCGGGTGGCACTTCTTGGCAAGTTTCTTTATCTTGTTGTGCCACCCTTCCAGGTGATTATTGGTACGGTGGCCTTGGTTTTCGAAATGGTTCCAAATCTCTGGCATGAAGGCCCCTCCTTGAACCCAACTGGTTGTCACGTAGTCCATGAAGGCAGTCACTTTAGGGCAAGCAGGAGAGCAGCAGCTCTTCTCACCAGCTTCTTCACCTCCTCATCTTCCATATAGTCCATCACCAGACCTTCTTTCTGCACCCTCCTCCAGGTACATTGGGTGAAGTGAAAGAAACACCCTCTAACTAATGTCCCAGGAAATGTTCAATGTTCTTGTCTGTAGTGAAGATGAGGATGTATTTTTGTGGGACACGCATTTAAAGGTATCGGTAATCGGATTAATTAATTACCCGCTAGAATAGGTGAAATGCTCTCAGCTGAAAATGTGGCTCTACCGGCAATAGCCATTTCTGAAATGTGGCTCTCCCGGCTAGACACCGTTGGAGAACATTTCAATACCGGGACTAACCAATAACGGATTCCTCGTCTCGTTTTACGTTTTTTGGTCAGTTTCTTTTTTGTATTTCTTTCTTTCAAAGAATAGTAATTTTGATCATGGTGGGGTGAGTTACTTGGTTTTTTTCTATGTACTGTTTTTAATTCAGTGTCAGTAACTGTTGTGCAATGACTGGTTTGAGTTCATATGATGATGATTGATTGGTTTGTCGTTTAACGCCACACTCAGCAATATTCCAGCTATCTGACGGCGTTCTGTAAATAATCGAGTCTGAACCAGACAATCCAGTGATTAATATCAATATCGATGCCATGCACCAACCAAAGCCTGGCCACCCGATCCCGTTAGTCGCCTCTTACGACAAGCATAGTCGCCTGATATACTGTAAAGATGTAACATAACAATTCATCCATACTACTAAACAGAAGTAATACTGCTTGTCCATTCGGATCAGTCTGACCCAAACCAGTCCGCTGATGAGAGTCAAATAATGCATACGAATCAAAATCCGTAAAAATTGCAATGGAGACATCTTTAAAAGTTACCCAAAGTGACTGGGATATCAATATTGCTTGTTGAAATGATTCTATGAAATTTGTTTTCCCTGCTTCATTATTTGGAGCACCTGTGACGGGGCCATAAAACTGATCTGTTATGTAGACAATATCGCTTGAGGCGGTGTCTAGCCGGGAGAGCCACATTTCAGAAATGGCTATTGCCGGTAAAGCCACATTTTCAGCTGAGAGCATTTCACCTATTCTAGCGGGTAATTAATTAATCCGATTACCGATACCTTTAAATGCGTGTCCCACAATAACCATTGCCGTGAGAGCCACATCAATTTGGGCTATCTATTTTCTAAATGTGGCTTTGCCGGCCTGTAACCTCTCCAACTACGTGATAATATTTTGAGTATGTGCATCTGTGGTTGTGGCAAAAAGACCTTATCTAGTATGACTGTTTTGCCATATGGAGCCCTTAGTATTTTCATTTACATTATTATAACCAAATGCCAAGTGTAAAAAGAATGTGATCTATTATTTGAGTATGTGCATCTGCCAATGCTGTTGGCAGTTTTTATACTATTTCCACATGTTTACATTTGTGCCAGAAATTGCTTCCATTTCCTTCGATCTACTTTTTAAATAAAGACCCAGGTTAGAATAGGTCTTCAGCAACCCATGCTTGCTGTAAGAGGCGACGAACAGGATTGGTAGTTCCATGCTCTTGGTGTCAATCACTGGATTATCTGGTCCAGACTCGATTATTTACAGACCGCCGTCATATGGCTGTAATACTGCTGAGTGCGGTGTAAAACAAAAAAAATATTTTTTAAATATACCTACCCTATGCAAATGTATCAACTTTATTGCCCAATACTCAAAATAATGTTTTTTCCACAACAACGTTGTGTTATTTGTGATTAATATAATTATGCTCCTTCATGCCTTTCAGTAACATCATAATTATGCGTTTGTGAGGCATCACGTATGGCGGGGAACTTTGATGCTCTGCATCAATGTTTTCTTGTTAATATTAGTATTAAGTATTAGTTGGCAGTATGGGTTTCAAGGATTTTAATGAAGAGGTGATACTACACCTTTTAACTTAGTCAAGCTTGGGTCAGTCACTACCCTATCAGCTCCATTGTGTCAGCAAGGGCAAATGTTCTGGCTGAGTGGCTGACCCTATTGTTCTTGGGGTCAGCTTTGCATGCTTTTTAACCCTCACTTGCACCTCAGTCACTACACAGACAAGTCACTGACAGACGACAGCAAGTGGGCACGTTTTACAGATTTTTTACTGTCAAGGTATGTTTCCAATTAAATATGTAAACATATATGTATATATATTATATATATAATTTCATAATTAAGATGATATAAATCGGTTAAATAAGATATTTCTTATGATGTGTGAGAGATTCAGTCAATGGCTGATTCTCCTGGACAGGGTGTTGTTTGAATATGTTTATGAGGCTATTATCATATATGTGTTAAATGTATTGTAAGTGTGTGGACATTTATGATAGTTTTAGGATGTTTAGTGTTTTGTTGTGTTTTATGATAGTTCTATGTACAGATCTGTAACTATGTATGTAATTTGATAATAATGTCCACACGTGCATGAGCATTGTGTAGGGAAGCTAGTTTTATTGTACATTTAGAATCATTTCCATATTTGTAGGTATTTTGATGTCACTGTAGCCCTGGCCATGTAGTCGTGGGAGACTAAAATTAACCTACACCTGGAGGCCATACTTCTGGTATGTTTACTTATCATCACATAATAATATATGTATTTACAATGAGGTTTATCTATTGATTAAGTTTTACATGACATAAGAAGTGTGTTGATTTATATATAATGTTTTACATGACATAAGAAGTGTGTTGATTTGACGTATGCATATCCTATATATCTGTATAACATGATTCTAATATCGTATCATGTTCTGGCATGTTTTCCACGACACAAGTGTGTTGATTTGACGTATGCATATCCTATATATCTGTATAACATAATTCTAATATCGTATCATGTTCTGGCATGTTTTCCACGACACAAGTGTGTTGATTTGACGTATGCATATCCTATATATCTGTATAACATAATTCTAATATCGTATCATGTTCTGGCATGTTTTACACGACACAAGTGTGTTGATTTGACGTATGCATATCCTTTACATATGTATAATGTATATATGTACAATGTAATTCTAATGACGTATCATGTTCTCATTTTATTTGTTATATTTTACATAATTCTTATTGAGTGTTATTGTGCATTTCAGGGTGTAAAAGTATAACACATACTTGTCATCCAATAAAACGAATCCCACCCGTAGCCGTGTTGTCACATCATTCAGCGATCCACACACACACACACTGCTACAAATACATAATTAATCACCTGGTATTTTTGTCAGTTGTTAAATTTGTTGTCATCAAATCTTCACAAATAGAATAATATCAATGACAATTGAAAGTATTTTCTTCCATGGAAAATCATTCTTCATGAAATTGACTCTTTTACACTTCCATATTGGGTATGGATGGTTTTCTTTGGAATTTCAAAATATTTTTCTCCCATGGTTTCAGTCATTAGGTATTATTTTTCTGATTATTTTGAAAAAATAAATTTTGCTTACAATACTGATCAGGTGATTGTAATTTACATCTGGTCATGTGCTGGCCCATGCGTGTCACATGTCACACAAGCTGACAACAGTATGTGCGTTCGATTAGTAAAATTTGAGTGTGCTGAGTCAATCAAGGTTTCCACATATCTGGCAAGCAGGGTTAACTCGATTCAACCTGAGTTAACCAGAGTTAACAAGGGGACGTCAGGGCAGTATCCGAAATACAATGCATGAAATGTGTTTATGTAACTTCGTTATAATAATGGCTGCTAGGGGAAGGAGAAACACAACAGCCATTGCTATAAGAGCCCACAAAGAGAGGTTAACAAGTGCTTCATTGCTCGACTAAGCTGTCATTGTACCTTTTCTATTTAAAGCATGTAAAACAACAAGAAAATTAAAAATAATGCACAGAACATAACTGAGATGCAAAATTGTCATTAAAGTTGCATTACTGATTCTAAAGCATTTATATCAACAATTTGAAGGTTAATTTCCATGATGTACATATCATAATCCACATATACCATCAACACCTGGTTAATTTTATTCATTAATGCTTATGTTCATGATTGAATCAATAAATGAAATTAATTTTCTTCACCGATAATGTCATTTGAGGCATCTAACCAGAGCACCACACCCCAGTAGGTGTGGGCAACTTAGGTCAACCAAAGTTTGATGTAAATCAGTAAACATGAGCCAACATTGGTCAACCAAGGTTAACTTGGGTTATACCTTGGTCAACACACGTTCACCTGGGTCGTGAAGGGTTTTGAATTCGATCGCAAGCAATGTGTAGGATAAAACAAACAAGGGTTTTTATGAGATTTAAAACCTGAATCCAAAGGATAAAACCGAGGTGTGTCAGCTCCGATGTTTTATCTCAAAGATTCAGGTTTTAAATCTCATAAAAACCTGAGATAAAGTGTTTTATCTAACTTATAAACCTATTCACTGGGATCGCTATTAAGTAAGAGACTTCTTTCTATAGGCATTAAAACCTATTGTGAGGTTTTACTTTTCAGTCGGGTTAAATCTCATAAACAGGGACGTTGTAATGTCCCTGGGATTATATATTATATCCCAGGGATTTTATAGGATATTCAAGTCATATTTGCTATAATATCCCAGGGATTTTATATAATTTCCTGGGTATTTTATTAATGAAACTTCCGTTCAGATTGTAATATGTAATGAAATGTAAAATCAAAGGATCGAACTCGCAGCCTTCATATCTGTAGCCCAGTGAGTGTAGCACGAGGTTACAGAGGTGTTGATAAGCCACAGTGGTTTTTAGAATGTCCTATCAAGATCCGTACGCAAGTAACAGATATTTTACGCGCGTTTCCTAAGGTTCATGGAAAGTATGTTCGAAACATAAAATTGTTGATAAATGTTTTTTAAGTTTCTTTTTTCGGTTTATAAGTATGGAAAAACACTTTCCCTCGGTTTTGGTAGACAGAGCATGCCCTGGGGTTCGGGAATAAGAAAAAAGAAACTTAAAACAACATTTATCAACATTTCTATGTTTCAAACATACTTTCCATGAACATCAGGAAACAGGCGTAAAATATCTGCTGCTGGTGTATGGGTACTTGAAAAAGACATTCTTAAAATCATTGTGAAAATAGCATGTCTGTAGGCAAGTGCTACACTCGCTAGGCTACAGATACAAAAGTTGCATGTTCGATCTGCGGGAATATTAAGAAAATATTTGTCATTTGATTTTACATTTCGTTACATTGTGTTCAAAAGCAAAATAAATTTCTGGAAAGAAACATTTACGTGTTACAATAAAAACAAAAGTATTTATAAAATCCCCAGGATATTATGATATCCCTGTTTATGAGATTTACCCCAACTGGAGAACAATAGGATGACATCACTCGAGGTTTAAAAGTATAGGTGATACCTGCATTTAATCATTCCATTCAACAAAAAAGTTGATTTTACTTTGGTCGTAAATAATTTAACAATTTCAGTTCGCAACCCATGGTAGCAGTATGGATAATTATTTGGCTTAATCGTCATTAATGCATAATTTTGTTTATGACTGGATTGTCTGGACCAGACTCCAAATATTTACAGACTGTCGCCATATAGAAGGAATATTGCTGAGTGCATGGCGATGCGTGCATTCAAACAATAAATAAAGATATGTCCTGAGCCTAAGGTATAAAAGCTGTAACGGCTACATAGGGTATTTACACACATCGTTGTTGTACTATTGAGTTTTCAAAATTGTTCATGTATATTTGTGCAAAAGCAACTCAGAATTGAATGTCCAACAGTGATTTCTATTGCACGTTACTCAAATAGGCAGCTTATCTGAGAACACTGATAAATGACACAAAGAATCATTTTATCATATAACATCATTCTTTTAATAATCAATGTTTTAGACCTACTCATTCAGGAAGAGGGGGCAAGGGTGACCCAGTCGTCTAAGGCACCGTGATCCGCTGTGCAGAATAGCGTCCCTTGGGCACGCCAGAAACCTTTGATTGTGGGTTCGAATCCCCATTTGCCCCGATGATGTTTCTAGGTTTGTCAGCACCATACCCATACTCATGGGTTTTACCAAAGTGGTAAACATCTGAGACCTGCATCATTTGGGGCTTTCATCCCACATTAAGCTGACGTGCCATGATATAACTGTAATAATGTTACAAGCTGCATTAAACCCAACTCACTCACACACTCACTCATTGAGGAAGATGTAGAAACAACTGTTTTCCTTCAAAGTAAGTGAGTGAAATGAAAGCCTGATGTCTGACACCACAGCAATATTCTAGCCATCCCCGATTATCCAGGGTATAATTGCTCCATTCTGTCATATGATCCAATACAACTTAGAAGTCTGGGAAGCATAGTGCAGGGGTCCAGATACCTTTTGAAGACATTGTTTATTTACTTAAGTTTCCATTCACTTTGGGTACTAAGAGTTTTCTTTTGGTGTTCAAAATATTTTTACTCCCTTTGGTCCAATCATTTGGGCATTTTTAAACCAATGAGTAGACATTTGGTTTTCAAAATACTGTATAAAATGCTATCGACCTCTAATTATTATCTGTTCAGTGCTGCCCCAAGTTTGTGACAAGTTGCACATTCTCACAAAACAGCAATAGGCCTGTCTAAGGCCACAATTTTTATTTACTTGTTTTACCAATTTTTTTACAGGAAAAACCTGTTGGGAGATTGGAAAAAAAGGAAAGTAAAAAAAATCAGTTTATTTTTTTAGTTTCCTCCTCTACTATAGGTCGGCTGGTATTCAAAAATATCAACTGTTTAATGTGTGAGGAGAGTCTGCAACACAACTGATGCTTTAAGCCATGCAAGCCTGATGAATCAAGTGGGAATACTGTTGTGCATCTATGCATCCTAGCAATTTCAAACTTTATTTTGACTCACATGTTTAATATATGTCTTCAGTGGGTCCTTGTTTAGAAAATATTACAACTAGTATGTGCACAAATGCATATTTATTTGAACCCAACCAATGGATCTGTTTGCATACCAGTTATTCTCAACTCCTTGGGGAGTATACAACCAAAGCTTTCTACAGGCTCCAGAAGGTTTTTTAAAGGTACCCAAGTTGAAAAAGTTACATTGGGTAATTGTGCATAGCAATAAAAGTATGTGACAGATATATGGATCGATTAAATTCTGAGGTATTTTGTTTGTGCCAGGCAACAATTTTGATTGAGTCTTCTTAATCTATTTTAAAAATCTTTCTATTAGGACAATTACCTTGGATACGTTCCTTTCTGGTTTCCTGAATCTATTTGTCCCAAGTCGTGTTACTTGAAGACACAGGCTTTATCAAGTATTAACATACCACTATCACTGGCGCTCTATCGACCTACTAACATACCGGTACAGTGATAACCTACTTTAAAAACAACAACACTACAAGGTACACACAAGCTGAGAAACAAGAAAATCAGATCAGTGATTAGACCAGTGCAGGAATGTTTTTCATACTTATTCACAGATAGAAGTGTAATATTTTTTAAAGTTTTTGTTTGTTGTTTTACGCCACACTCAGCAATATTCCAGCTATATGACGGCAATCTGTAAATAATTAAGTCTGGACCAGACAACCCAGTGATATCATGCTATTGTGTTGCTATGACATGCATCAACCAAGTCAGGAAGCCTGTTCACCCGATCCCGTTAGTCGCCTCTTACGACAAGCATAGTCGCCTTTACAGCAAGCATGGGTTGCTGAAGACGTATTCTTCAGATCTGCACGGGTCTGTTCCGGTCTGCCGTTTGGTATATAGGTGTTTCATTATGACAAATACTTTTAATCTAGCTTCAAACTGGTTGAATGTCATTTCATCACAGTTAGATGATCTGCAGTTGTAATTCATGTTACTTGAGATTTATGATACCCGTTTTAATTTCTGAATCCCCAAATATATGTTGTGAATCATACTGTGGATTATATGCAATATGTTATGCTGTTCATATATTCATCATTTCCCATACCCGTGAAGATCTGTGTGAGAATGTCTTCAGCAACCGCTGCTTGTCCTAAAAGGCGACTATTGGGATCAGGTGGTCAGGCTCACTGACTTAGTTGATGCATGTCATCGTATCATAACTGCGTGGGTCAATGCTCATGGTCTCAATCACAGTATTGTTTGGTCCAGGTTGATTATAGTAGTGTCAAATGCAGACGTAATAAGTGTAAGCA